ATATCACTGCCAGCACTGTATAGTGCAATCACCAGGATTTGAACTTCACTGTTCTCTAAAACAAATACTCCAAGGCATAGTTGTTGTTGTTGTTGTTGTTGTTGTTGTTGTTGTTGTTGTTTGGTACCTGGTTCCTTGGATACCATCACAAGACATCCATTTCCCAATCCCTTGACAGTATTTTGAAGCCAATCATGTGAACCACTCCTGATTACCTTGAAATGCTGAGAAAGGGCATGAAATACTATAAACCAATCAATGCTGCCTCCAGCAAACTTAATGAAAAATAAAATAAGTTGCTAACATTTCCACCTACCCTGTGTTTTCACTTTATATTACATGACATTTCTCTGACCCTCCTGCAAAAAGACTAAGATGCTGATATCTGGCCCACTGAAAGAAAATGTCAGATAATGACAAGGGGGTTAATGATAGGACTATAATTTTGCAACCAGAACCTTTTCACAGCAGTTGCAACCACTTGAGCCCCGCTCCAGAGGCTAGAAGGCAGAGCAAAGAATTGTTCAACACGTACTACTGGCAGAAGCAGAGAATATCAAATAAGGCAGGTTTTTCTTTGGTTCGTTTTTAATGAGAATATGAAACTGACTAGAAATGAATGATATCAGCCTTACTAGATAGATCAGACAGAAAGCATGGCCAGATAAGTTAATTTTACTTCATTGTAAAGCTACATTAATAGAATCTTGCAAGTTTGAAAGTACATTTTTCCTGCGATCACCGCCTGAGAACTTCTGAGCCTCTTGCTCTATCCACTGTTAGCTGTGGGCTATTCTCTCTCTTATCTGGCTGTTCCCTCGGCAGCATCTCTTCATCCCACATTAAGCTCATTCCCACATACTGTTACATCTAGAACATTTAAGATCCCTGGAGAAAGACTAAAAACTTCTATGGAATGAAATGCAGTGAATCAACATTATAGAAGCACAAGCAATAGAACACAGTCAAACTAGAGTCTTGGACTTCAAGAGAGCTAATTTCAATAAACTTAGAGAGGGCTTGGGAAGGATTCCATGGATGAGAATCCTCAAGGGGAAAACAACTCAAGAAGCTTGGGAAATTTTGAAAAATGAGATAATAAAAGCACAGTCTAGCACAATATCAACAAAGAGGAAAAACAACAGCTCTCAAAAGAAACCAGCATGGCTGCATAAAGAACTCTCTGACAAATTGAAAGATAAAAAGGACAAGTACAGAAAGTGGAAAGAGGGGAACATAACTAAGTCAGAATATCAGCAAATAGCCCGAGCCTGCAAAGATGAAGTGAGGAAAGCCAAGGCTCAAAATGAACTAAGGCTTGCGACCAAAGTCAAAAATAACAAAAAAAGCTTCTTTCAACATGTAAAAAACAAGAAAAAAGTGAAGGAAATGATTGGTCCATTAGTGGGTGGAAGTGGCAAGAAGATGACAAGCAACAGGGAGAAAGCAGAACTATTTAACTCATTTTTTGCATCTGTCTTTACACAAAGGGAAAAAACAGACCAACCTATCAAAAATAGTGCCATAAAAACAAAACAGAAACACAAGTTAAGATAGGCAAGAAAATGGTAGTGGCACCTGTCCAGCCTAGATGAGTTCAAATCGCCAGGACCAGATGGATTACACCCCAGAGTTCTCAAGGAACTGGCAGATGTGATATCGGAGCCACTGAACTATATTTTTCAAAGATCCTGGAACACAGGGGAACTATCAGAGGACTGGAAAAGAGCTGATGTAGTTCCCATCCTCAAAAAAGGAAAAAAATGGATCCAGGAAATTACAGACCTATCAGCCTGACCTCAATACCTGGGAAGATCCTGGAAAAGATAATCAAACAACGAATCAACGAACACCTAGAGGCAAACAAAGTCATTACTAAAAGCCAACATGGGTTTGTCAAAAATAGATCATGCCAGACAAATCTTATTGCATTCTTTGACCAAGTGACAAAATTAGTGGATCAGAGGAATGCTGTGGACATAATTTACTTGGACTTCAGTAAGGCATTTGATAAAGTAGATCACAACCTACTACTTGATAAGATAGAAAAATGTGGGGTAGACAGAATCCACCACCAGATGGATCCGTAGCTGGCTGACCGGCCGTACTCAGAGAGTGTCCTCAATGGAACTGCATCTATATGGAGGGAAGTGTGTAGTGGGGTGCCCCAGGGCTCTGTTCTGGGCCCAGTGCTTTTCAACATCTTCATCAATGATTTGGATGAAGGGATAGATGGGGAACTCATCAAATTTGCAGACGACACCAAGCTGGCAGGAATAGCCAACACTCCAGAAGACAGGCTTAAGTACAGAAGGATCTGGACAGACTTGAACACTGGGCACTAACTAACAAAATGAAATTCAATGGTGAAAAAAGCAAGGTTCTACATTTAGGCAAGAAAAACCAAATGCACAAGTACAGCATAGGTGGCACCATGCTCAATAGTAGTAACTGTGAGAGGGACCTCGGAGTCCTAGTAGACAATCACCTAAATATGAGCCAGCAGTGTGCTGCAGCTGCCAAAAAGGCCAACACAGTGCTAGGCTGCATTAACAGAGGGATAGAATCAAGATCACGTGAAGTATTAATACCACTCTTCAATGCCTTGGTAAGGCCACACTTGGAATACTGCATCCAGTTTGGTCACCACGATGTAAAAAAGATGTTGAGACTCTAGAAAGAGTACAGAGAAGAGCAACAAGGATGATTAGGGGACTGGAGGCTAAAACATATAAGGAACGATTGCTGGAATTGGGTATGTCTAGTTTAACGACGAGAAGGACAAGGGGGGACATGATAGCAGTGTTCCAATATCTCAGGGGCTGCCATAAAGAAGAGAGAATCAAGCTATTTTCCAAAGCACCTGAAGGCAGGACAAGAAGCAACGGGTGGAAACTAATCAAGGAGAGAAGCAACCTAGAACTAAGGAGAAACTTCCTGACAGTGAGACCAATTAATCAGTGGACCAGCTTGCCTCCAGAAGCAGTAAATGCTCCAACACTGGAAGTTTTTAAGAAGAGACTAGACAGCCATTTGTCCGAAATGGTATAGGGTTTCCTGCCTGAGCAGGGGGTTGGACTAGATGACCTCCAAGGTCCCTTCCAACTTTACTACTATTACTATTACTATTACATGGGGGCGTTTCTATCTGAACTACACCTCAGTCTGTCAGAAAATGGAGTCATCTGTTTAAGTTGAAAAATAGCATGGGATGGGGTTTCCGCAATGCCTAAATAGGGCTTCTGTTCCTTCCCCTTCCATGCCTTCCATTAAGAAGAGACTGGACAGCCACTTGTCTGGAATGGCATAGGGTCTCCTGTTTGTGCAGGGGGATGGACTAGAAGACATCCAAGGTTCCTTCCAACTCTGTTATTCTGTTATGTCCCATTAACTTTTCTCCTTACCTCATCTCCGTCTAGCTTTGTTCCTTCCTTTTTCTTCTTTTCTAAGTACACAACCCCTTTATTTTACCCTCAACCTATTTTTTTTTTTTTTTTTGCGGGGAGGTTTCCCCCTTCTCCTTTTTTGCAGAGCCTTCATGAAGAATGAAGGTGGGTTGTGTCAGAAAAGACAATAGCTTATACAAATGTGAGCTAATTAATACTTACATGGGGTGCTTTATTTTACTGTTAATTGATATTAATCAATTATTTTAGACAGATAGACAGATAATGCATTTAATGGACTTCCCCTTTTTTGGGAGAAGAGTATGGATTCTAGTGTGAAATAGGAACACGTTTGTTCTCCATGGTGCATTTCAAATGGAGTTGGTACAGGGCAGACAGGTATTGCACAGCATAGTCCTGCTAGGAGAGCTCTCTTAAATTCAGGGTCATTTTTCTTCCCTTCCTATAATATCACAGATAATATTACATCTTAGTTCAATTAATTATCCATCTACCACAGGAAAAGGTAATACTGCAATGTGTTTAAAGTGAAAGCATCAGAAGTCAGATCCTGAGAAGTACCTATAATGCCTGAGATAACGTAGCAATGTGGAAATTTAATCTACTTAAAGCAACCTTCCTTGCCCTAGTCCAGATACGTTGGACTTTGTCTACCAAAATCTACAGGTGCCAAGGCTGAATGCTGGTCTCAGCCCAGAGCTGAGAAAGTTTAATCTAAAAATAGGCATAACAGTGCTGAAACCATTAGCTTTAAAATTAAAAGCACACCAGCCATGTTAAGTATATTACTGTAGAACAAGTCTATCACAGGAGAACAAGGGCCTGGATCGCTCTAGCATTCATTCAGCACAATGTTTTCTCTATTCTTTAGAAATCTGCACTGAGGTATTTTTAACAATGTAGTATGAAAGCCTGCCATTGTCAAGCGTGCGCCACAAACAGCTTGCTCTCTCCTTGCTATAATTAGCAATGTTAATAGGCAATATGCGATAATTCTTCAGAATATTTTAGCACCCAAAAGATAAATCAAGCAAGCGGGGTGCCGTCACCTGCCCTTAGGCATGACTAAACCCCCCAAGGGGCACTTTAAAAAAAGGACTTCTCCCTCTTGCTGGTTTATAAATGGCTTGGTAGCATAGATCCATCATTCATACTCTCTCGTCCTCAGATACATCCAGCATGAATATTCTACTTGTGTACTTAAAACAAAACATGAAATTCTCAATCACTCTCAACACTGGGAAGATAATCTGGGCAGTACCTAATAGGATTAGAATCAGTTTTCCTTGCAAAAGTGGAAAACAGAGGTATTTCCCTACCTGAACAGAAGGGTCAAATTCCCCAATGGCAACCGAGAGCTCTTTAAACACCCCCAGAACAACAAATAAATGTTCATTTTCCTCCTTTCCTCACCACAGAGCAAGAACTCGGATTTCCATAATTATTGTTAAAACCACTTTAGCATTTTTTTTTCCCACTTAACAGTCACTGGCAGCTATTTTAGCACCTGCAGATTGAATTGTAAAATTAACTTGTGCAGCTAGGAGAGGAGAGAAGAAGAGTGAAAAAGAAGCAAATAGACTGCAAACTTACCTTAAAGAGGCGCAAGATGTTGGCCACCATAATGGAAACAGAGCTGCCTGATGCACCAATTACTCCAACCACGCGTTCCGGCTTTGTGATGATAGGTGGCCCCCCATTAACACAACGCACCTCAGTACTGTCCTTCTCTATTAGAGCCTGAACAAAGGTGAGGGACTGCTCCAAAGCATGGGTGTCTCGAGAACAAGTATCCAGGATGCGGGCCCCCAAAGTGATATTTGGAAGTAGATCAGGATCATTGTTGATTCGATCTAGAGCAAAAAGCATGGCCTCAAGACGATGAATCCCCTTCTCCTTCTTTAGCTCTCCACAGGCCTTTCCCTCAGAGCCCCGTCCATGGACAGGGAAGAGACCTCCTAAAGTGATATCCCCATCAAGGCGAATGGAGTTCATGTGGGGATGCCCTTGGCCTTTGGGTTTGGCTGTGCTGACTGGTTGATACCACCAGCCACAGCAGATGCTCATGAACAAACAGAAGGAGAGTTGCTCCATGCACACAGATCCCCCCTTCTTCCCAGTCATCGCCAAATCCCACTTGAAACTCAATCCCATCAGCCTAAAGATCCATGGAAACCAAGGTTTCTATTACCAAAATCTTAATTCAGCTGGCTTGGAAGTAGCTTCTCCCAACGTTTCAAAATGGCCTTCTGAAGGATTCAGAGCATGGTTTTCTTCCCCCTTAATTATCTATCACTTTTCTGTCAAGATTTCCAGTCAACTCCAGTATCCATTTCAATGCAGGTGCTAAAGAACAGAGAGGTAGCTGCTTCTGGAAATGAGTTCACAAGATCCCTTTCCAAGCCCTCTGAAGGACCATAGCAGTGCTGCTAATGAAGAGCACCAGATTTTGCATAATTTTGTGGCAGGAGAAGTGGGCAAAAAAAACCTCTTTTCTTCCTTTTTTCTTCAGTCCCTGTAAGGAAGAAAGAAAGGACATTCATTATTCAAATCTTTTCTCAGAAAGGCATTAAGTTGTAGCACAAAAAAGCTTCAGGATTCACTTGATCAGAGTTTTTGTTATGCTTTGAGAAAGGCAATGTTGGGTCAAAAGCAACACACAAGGGAGAAGGGAAAAACTACATCTGAAGATGCCTAAGCTCCATATCTTATTTATGGATTTGAAGCGGGCCTTCCATCAGTGGAAGCTTACTGGGCCATGAGGAATATCTAGTCTTTTAAAAGTCAACCTGGATTCTTCCTTGAGTGAAAGGAGGCAAATTAATGCATTCACTTTACTTTATAGGTGCTTGGTACCACTGCATTATTTAAAAGAACTGAGGAAGGGGGAAAGGAAAAGAATATTTGCCTGCTTTGTAAAAGTCAGAACAGCTACTCACTCTATTGGGAACTCAATACCAAAATGACCACACACTGGATTTGCAAGAAACAATACAACCTCAACAAATCAATACATTCACCTTTAAGATGCAAGATAATTGCAACAGAGAAAAATAGGAAAGTTATATTCTGTGCTGTATAAAAACATTGTTGACCCAGTGCAAACTTGCATCAAATAAGGATTTAAGGCAGGTTTACTTCTTTACTTTTTGCATCATATAACAAAACAAATAGTTGTTTCTGTCCTTCTGATTAATCATCATAGTGGAGAATAAACATTGGAACCAATCTCACTATATAATATTTTTTAATGAACACCCTTTGAACAAATGACAGAAAGGGGAAGGAAATGTTCCTTGGCCTCAATGAGAAGCATATTCATCACAAATAGGAAGAAATAATGAAGTAGCACATAAAAACATGAATCAAATGTTACAACATCTCTGCATTTTTATCATAGAATTCTAAAGTAATTCTCCTTGGAGAATAATCCAAGTCCTGCCTTAGGCATGAAAGCCAGCTGGTGATTTTGGGCCGATCATTCTCTCTCAGCCTAACCCACAGGGTTGTTGTTGTGGGGAAAACAGGACAAGAAAGGAACATTAGGTAGGTTCACCACCTTGAATTATTAGTAAAAATAATAGTGGCTAGGAAAAAGCTTTTAAAGTGCTGAATGCAAGTCTTCTCTGAATAAAGTGTTACAAAAAGGTGCAAAGAGTTTCCTAGTATGTTCATTCTGGAGAGCATCCATGCTTTTTTATGTTTGTGGTTTCTGGGAACAGAGAAAAAAAAGGCACCTCTTGGATGGTGAGGCATTGCTTTCACTAATAGGACCAAATAAATGTTAACATTTAATGAACAATATTAATCAAGAAGAATTATACGCTATCTGAGAACAGGTTTCTATGAATTTCAGAGAGTTTTTCCTCTCTCGTCTGAAAATACAACTTGGGATCTTTTCATGGACAGGCATATGCTATAGCTTATATTATATAGCTATAACAGTAGACATTAAAAAAAAGGAAGTATGCCTAGTAGATATGTTTAATAGACCATTAGAGAATAGGTGAACATTGACATTTAATGATGAATTAAACTCTTCAGACTCTTGTGGGCTATGTATCAGGGCTCAGATTTAGCATGTCATATCATAAAAGAAGGCCAATCTTTGTACATTTCAAATGTACATTGCCCCAAAGGTATCAGTCACACTTGTTTTATCAAAAGACATTTTCCACCAATGAAGTTGGAACAGATTTTGTTATTCGCAGATTAGATACTAATACTGTATACAATGTGATCGCCATTAGCCACAGTAGTCTTAGATCAGTCATCTGTGGGGATTTTGATAAAGCCAATATTTTTAAACCACATCAGGAAGTCACCCTGAGACCTCATGAACCCTGAGCCATTTTTTTCCATTATGCTGGACACAACCACATTTCCCTATTGCTATGTTTATCTTTATCCTTTCTCCTATGCTGTAAAGTACCCTATAACTGAAGACACAACTCTTCATGTCATGGCCATTTCTATCCCACTTTTTATGGTGAGCTTTTCTAGCTTCTGAACTTGCTCAAGGAAGGTCTTGTGCATTGGATATATGTAAGGGGAATGGCTGCCCTGCCATCCCCTTGTTCCTTCTAGAATAGTCACACATAAACACATGCCTGGCTCTTCTCATCCTCCTTGGCTAGCATCCCAGTGCAATGATGTTTACTTGTGGCTGGTTGGCTGGTTGTGTCACAAACAGCTCTGTTGGGAAAGCCTCTAGATGGGCTGGTATGGTAGACCGTCATCCAGCCTCATCAAACATTTTGCTGCTACTTCATTATGAATTTTTTTGAATGGGCACCATAAAAATGCCAGGAAACATAATGAACAAATGGTGACATTCTGGAAGAGGAAAGTACCATACATGAGTCTTGCAACATGACCTGCACTAGCCTGCAGCTTCAAGAGTACTAAAAAATGCCATCTTGCTCCAAATGTTAAAATTAGACTCAACTGAGAAGGAGGATTTTTTTTCCTTTGCTTCGAACAGTGAGCACCTTTGGGGTAGCTGTATTCCTTATTTTTCCTGCTTCACTTAGTTTTGCCTACTACCAATATCCTGTGTGACCCTGAGCCACTCATTTTGCTTTAGCTGTTTCCCCTCCCATTGATAGAAAGAGATAATAGCAATTGCCTACCTTAGTAAAAAATTAAAATACCCACTTAAGCACCATTGTTTAAGAGTCCTAGTTTCATGGCCCTGATATTGCTACATTAATCTTTATAATGTGATGACCTTCCAGAAAATAATATTCCCCCTCTTACTATCAAAACACAAATTATAATAAAAGGCCATGGGGAAAAATGCAAAAAAAGAAACAGAATCATTATTCAGTCAGAATCCATCTTTCTGTGCATAAATAATCTTGCTCAAGGAAAGATTATTGTTAACAGTTGACTGCAATCCTTAGGTTACCACATTGTAGCCTCCCTCCTCAAGAGAATGATAGTGCCCAGAAGCTGTTTGGCTGTACCAGGCAGAAACTTCCAGATTTTTCTGTTAAGAAGAAATACCACAAGAATTGACATTATACAGGCAAAAATATCCAGAGCAAGACTTCACTCAAGACTTCTTGATTTAGATATCAGGAGAATATGTTAACTCAAAACCACATTATGGCTTTACATATCATATGACCTCAGAACTGGAATTTGTACATTATGAATTATATCTTAAGCACAATGTGTGAACCTATCATAAGGAAGAGAAAATCACGAAGTGCTGAATCATTGTAGACCTTGGTTATTTCAAGGCAATAATGGTGTCATCACTGTGTGGGATTTGGAGACTTTGAGATATTGATCTGGATATATCAGGCTGGATTCCAAATTTGGATAGCTGAAAATTTGATCCAGAATGGATTTATAAAAACCATAAAATATTATGTCTAAGGGTGGGAATCATTGTTGCAGACGTGCAGTTGATTCTACTATAAAACTAATTTCATGGGTTCAGAGTCAGCAGCCCTTGTTGCCTAACTTGATTCTCTACCTGATATCAATATACAAAGTTCACACACCTTAAAAGTCAAAGGTGTCCTCTCATGCAGACAAGCATTTTTCTTTGCTTTTCTAAATGAGATGTAATTGGCTTCCTTTATCGCAAGGGTTGTTGTGAGATTAATGGTGCATTGTATGAAACACACTTTTGAAAATGAAAAGCTCTGCATTATATCTGAACTAGAAAACAAATAACTTTTCAGTACTACCGAGTCAAATGTCAATATTTGAGCTGAATGAAAAGGCTGCTAATAGATGTATTTTGCCCTATAGCAAAATGTTTGGTATCAAGCAAACATGGAGTTTGAAAATTATTTCTGCAGCTAGTTCCGTAGCAGCAGATGTACCCCCCTCTAGGCATAGGAATTATGAGAATTACTGTTTTTATTAATTATAAATTAATTATAGATAGATCAGATACCAATAACCACTGGCCCACAGACCTAATTAACTTCTGGCCTGATTCACTGGACATGTTTGGATTGTGTGTATTGTTTATGCTTGTGGAAAGAGTAAGGAAAAATGTATTGTGACACACAGCATATCTCTTTTTATTTTTATGTAGAGATTCCTACTGATGGCATGCAATCTCCAATATGCTATCCCAAAATTAATTCAAGCCTCAGTCCAAAATAATTTCTTTATCTACTGTATGTTGTAGGCTCAGTCTTTCCTCAGCAGTAGTCAAGGCGATATCCTTTTTCATAAAACCTACATAACAATGCTGTGACATAGTGTAGGCTAATAGAAAGAGTAAGTTGACTAATGTCAATGATTGAGCTTCATAGCTGAATAAGAATTTGAGGCTGCCCCTTCCCCTAGTCCAATAGCCCAATCACTAAACCCCATTTGCCATTTTGTGTGAAAGGGGGCAAGGCATATTTGAATGTAAAATAAAAGGGAAGAAAAAAGATTCAGAATAATCAAGACCTTTTATCTTTATTTTGTCTGTTATTTCCTTATAATTAAACACATACACGTATAAGACATTCCCAAATAGCAAGTGAACAAAATGCAGGGTCACAATGGAATATCTTCCTTCATTTTGTCTGTTCACCTGAGGTTATCTTTCATTATCTGGGAATCATTGGACTTTTGTGTCTGATGAATGAAGGCCACTTGCTTTTCTTTCAAAGATATGTGTTTCTAATAGAAAAGTGTGCTGGCAGGCTCTCCTCTACTGTTGCTACATGAAACATGTCACCATGGGACATCTCTCCCATTATTTCAAGATCAGGGTCATCTTTTGGTCACACATCAGTGGTGTGATTGTTAATTTGCAATAACAAACCAATGTTAACAGTCTTTGAATCAACACTGGAACCTTGAATGTGCGAACAAGTCCTTGGCAATGATGCTAGAAAGGCCTGGGACCTTTAATTAAGGGTCAGCAGATAGGTAGGTCTAGGAGTGATAATGTATAAGCAGATAGACCATAATGTTAAATGGAAGGGAAAACAAATTGCTCAATGATATGGAAACAGATTCATAAAATTCAGAAACAAACCGAAAAAAGTCATA